GAAAGAAAGAAATAAATAAATAAATAAATAAATAAATAAATAAATAAATAAATAAATAAATAAATAAATAAATAAATAAATTTTGGGGTCATAGCTTTTCTCCAAGAGGCAGACAATATCTGGCTCAGTAAATGTTTAGAGCATAAATCCAAGCTAGATACACATTTCTGGGCACTCGAGAAAGTATCTCAGAAATGCTGCCTCCATCCTTCCCAGCTGGGAAGGTGGGGGACCATCCCTCCCTCCAATAATCAGGAAACAGGGCAGGAGTGCCATGCTGAAGCATCACAGCCTTGCAGCATTGTGGGTGGTAAAAGGCACTTTTAAAAACCAACCCCACCCCAACACTGGCCTCTTCATCATTGCTGTAGATGGGCAGCAGACAGGTTTTGCAGCAGCTGCAGATGGTGGACAGGCTTGGCAGCACTGATAGATAGTGCACAGATTCCGCAACAGCAGTGGATGGACAGCAGATGGGCTTGTCAGTAGTGACTGACAACAATGGGGTGCACAGGATGGCGGCGTGTATCAATGCATTGTTAGGTTCATAGCTGGAGGTCTGACTAAAAGTAGTAGGCATCCTTTAGTTTCGAGAGATTATGGTAATGTGCTCTGTATGGAGGTCTTGGAACAGCATCTAGTGTGGCTCAGAAAGCCAATTCGAGAGTGACAATCCCTTCCACAGTGAAGACAAATACAATCTGTACCCTGTCCAGCTCCCTGATTTTGCTAGTTTTGGGACTGCCTCTTTGCCTCAGCCTGCTGAACAAGTGTCTCTTCAAATTGGGAGAGACCATGATGCACCACCTGCCTCCAGGCTGAACGCTCAGACGTCAAGGTTTCCCATCTGTTGAGATCCATTCCTAAGGCCTTCAGATCCTGCTTGAAGATATCCTTGTATCACAGCTGTGGTCCCCCTCTGGGGTGCTTTCCCTGCACTAATTCTCCATACAGGGTGAAAATGAAAGACAGTTTATGAATTGTCAGGGCAAATTGGCACAGCATGAATGGTTGGCACAGGAGGATTGTGGTGCAAAGTGGCAACCCCCAAGGGTTACTGGCAGCCATGTGCAGGCCTGTTTGGGATTGGCCCAGGTGAATTGTTGCATAAGCCCAACATTAGACTGGGAGTGGTCTGACTTAGTAGGGAGAGTGGATCTCGATTTACAGAAACCACCCCACCAGGAAGCAGGGTGGAGAGATGGCATTTGGTTCAAAGTTGACTGGATAGGAAGCTCAGTGGCTTCCACACATGAGGTAATGGGTTCAGACACACCCCCTGGTTTCTTAGAAGGAAAGCTCTCTTTTGATTTTGTAGGTCTTTTATCATGAAGCAATTTGGATGCTGGCCACTATCTCTTCCCCCCTGCAATGCGACCACAAGCATCAACAGCTGTGGCTCCAGTTTATGACCCTGTCACACCCCCTTCAGGGAGGATTGCTCAGATAGCAGACAGTGGGGCAGGTGTTTCAACCTGTTTGTTATGCTGGGAGTTTCGAACCCAGGAGATATGTAACAGGAAGTCATGCAAATATGAACACAAATGCTCTGTGGAGGAACACATGCCTTCACATTTTTTTCAGAAGAGGCAACAATCTAAGTTTAGCAGGGGTGATAAAAAAAGAGCCTAAGGTGGGGTGTACCTCCAAAGGACCCCAGTCCAGACCGAAGTTGAAGTTAAGAATTGCTGAAGTTAAGAATTTGGCTGCAGTGGTACCCCAATAGGGTGGATGTTTGATACTTGGAAGAAGGTTTTCAATTCAGTTTTCAGATTCCCTTTCAGGGAGACAGAAAGTTTCTTGTTGGTTTTGCTGAAAGGCTAAAGCATTTCTTCCCAAATGACTGTTAAAATAGCATATTCCAGCTTGAGTGCATCTGCATCATCTGACTATGCCAACATGGAATGCTCTGGCAGGTGCTTCCACTAGTCTTTTGGTAGAGAGGCAAGGGGCAAGTCTCACCATCCCACCCTCCCCTGATATTCTTGTGATACATCTGGGTGAGAATGACCTTGCAGAGCAAAAAAAGGAGCATGGATCTTTTGTCCTGCTGGGAGAGACTTAAAGGACTTGTGTGCACTACTCCCAGGATCCAGCATTTGCTAGTGAGGTTGGATGCAGAAAAAGAGTTGGCACAATCAACCCTGAGAGACTCAATGTAAGAATAAGAAAGATCGCCAACAAAGTAGCATGGCTTGTGTTGAACTTTAGGAGGGGGGGCAGGATGCCTGGTCACATGATGTGTACGATGACGTGGTTAATTAGTTGCAGTTGCTTTAGCTTTGGTGGGAAGCAGCCTGGTTTCCCTCTTGTCTCTTGTGGTGATTTTGAGCCTGAGGATGGATCCAAATTGGATGAGGAGGATAGATGTCAAGGACCTCTTCAAGCAGTGGTCCTCTAAGGGATTATTGGGGGGGAGAGAGACTAGACGATGGAAAGGTCCACACAGTAGCTTGTGTCCACATGATGGCCCCTTTGACTGTCATCCCAGCTTTTTTTTTCAACAGCAGGCTGAGAGGG